GAAGAAGAAGAAGAAGAAGAAGAAGAAGAAGAAGAAGAAGAAGAAGAAGAAGAAGAAGAAGAAGAAGAAGAAGAAGAAGAAGAAGAAGAAGAAGAAGAAGAAGAAGAAGAAGAAGAAGAAGAAGAAGAAGAAGAAGAAGAAGTAGTAGTAGTAGTAGTAGTAGTAGTAGTAGTAGTTGGAAGGGACCTTGGAGGTCATCGAGTCCAACCCCCTGCTCAGGCAGGAAACCCTATACCATTTCAGACAAATGGCTGTCCAGTCTCTTCTTAAAAACTTCCAGTGTTGGAGCATTCACCGCTTCTGTAGGCAGGTTGTTCCACTGGTTGATTGTTCTCACTGTCAAGAAATTTCTCCTTAGTTGTAGGTTGCTTCTCCCTTTGATTATTCGATTGGAGCAACGCAAAAATCATGGGCCACGCTACCACCCGCCACGCCTGTGAGTTCATCGGAGCTTGGCACCCCACAAGCAATTCCATCAACAGAGACATCAACGTACAACCAGCCTACAAACCCCTCAGGATCCAAATCAACCACACAACCATGCAGACACAGCAACGACCCTCAACCATCCCGCGCAATCCCCCACTCCCAGCAGCAGTTCCCCTCCCAATGGCCCCGATCTGATATAACTGCCCCATCACAAGATTCTCACTGATGACTTTCACCAGCTTATAAAGCAGTATTTTTTCAAACTTGGTATCCGGTCCCTAAATCCTTATTGCTTTTCCTGCATACTGTATGTGCTCTTGTTTGGGGCCTGCCATAAGAAAGGCCGAGCGCCAAAGAATGGAGGCCTTTGAACTCTGGTGCTGGAGAAGACTCCTGCGAGTCTCCTGGACTGCAAGGCGATCCAACCGGTCAGTCCTGGAGGAGATCAACCCTGACTGCTCTTTAGAAAGCCAGATCCTGAAGTTGAGACTCAAGTACTTTGGTCACCTCATGAGAAGGAAGGACTCCCTGGAGAAGAGCCTGATGCTGGGAAAGATGGAGGGCAATAGAAGAAGAAGGGGACGACAGAGAAGGAGGTGGCTGGATGGAGTCACTGAAGCAGGAGGCGTGAGCTTAAAGGGACTCCAGAAGATGGTAGAGTACAGGAAGGCCTGGAGGAACGTGGTCCATGGGATCGCGATGGGTTGGACACGACTTCGCAACTAACAACAACAAATTCTTGGGGGGGGGGGCAATTGGCTTTCGCTTGGGATAACCTTCGCTTTCTATCTTTCCTCTCCCACCTCTCTCCACTTGAAGAAAAGCATATGTCTCCCTTATCAGGAGACAGCTACTAAGAAAAGAAACTGGAGAAGATCTTGAGATGTTTGCCAACTGTCCCAATTACTCAAACATCATGCCACCTGTGGACTGCCTGGATTTCAAATGGATACTATGAATTTGATGGGAGGAGGAAGATTGCTAGTTTAACTAGACCAGGGGTAGGCAACCTTGGCTCTTTTATGACTCGTGGACTTCAACTCCCAGAATTCCTGAGCCAGCATGGGGGAACTATGGCCCCTTCCTGACTCGTGGACTTCAACTCCCAGAATTCCTGAGCCAGCATGAGGGAAACTTTGGTCCCTTCATGTCTTGTGGACTTCAACTCCCAGAATTCCTGAGCCAGCATGAGGGAAACTTTGGCCCCTTCATGACTCGTGGACTTCAACTCCCAGAATTCCTGAGCCAGCATGGCTCAGCTTGGAAACCTCTCCCTTTCCCCTCAGCGTGGCTGGCTCAGGAATTCTGGGAGTTGAAGTCCACGAGTCATAAAAGAGCCATGGTTGCCTACCCCTGAACTATACCATTTAAGTGGGATTTTCCCCAGATCTCGCCATGACTTCCTTGCTGTCAGTAACCCTTAATAAAAGTTTCTTTTCTAGACAATGCCTGTTTCAAGAGTTCTGCTCTCTTGGGTGATTAGCTGAGGTGGGTCCTTACACCGGGCCACTTTAAAATGTGGGGGAATTCTGCGAGTTGAAGTCCACACATTTTAAAGTGCCCATATTTGAGAAATATTGTGCTAGAATAGAGAATAGAATAAAGTCAGTGAAGTAAATTTGGCTACGTTTCTCCCTTGACATCCTAAACTTCTCGTTGGGACTTTTTCCTAATAGGCCATTCTCCAGAAAACCTAAGACTGCCACTTAAGACAGCTCCAACACTGGAAGTTTTTAAGAAGAGACTGGACAGCCATTTGCCTGAAATGGTATAGGGTTTCCTGCCTGAGCAGCGGATTGGACTAGATGACCTCTAAGAACCCTTCCAACTTTATTATTATTATTATTATTATTATTATTATTATTATTATTATTATTATTATTATTATTATTACTTCCATCATTCTCAGTCAACATAGAATTGCAGTCCAACACATCTGGAAGGACAAACTGGGATAAACTGATAAGGAAATGAAAGATAAGGAAATGAAAGCTGGTTCTTCTAGGACAGGGGTCCCCAATCCCTGATCTGTGGACCGGTACCGGGCCGCAGCATGCCAGCAACCAGTCCGCACAAACAAGCAAAGCCCCATCTGTGGGATGCAGGCAGCACAAAAAACCACACACTCTCTGGTCCATGGAAAAACTATTCCCCACTGAACACGGTCCCTGGTGCCCAAAAGGTTAGGGACCTCTGTTCTTGGAGAAAGACCTGACCTTGAGAAAACAGGCAGAAATTGTTAGAAAAATAAAAGTATGGCTTTAACCCCAGGAAACAGAGAAAAGTGTGGGAAAGAAACATAAACACAGACATAATTCATTAGGGAACTGTTTCTCGGCAACTTTTAAGATGTGTTGACTTCCTTTTTCTAATAGTAGTTTTGTTGAAAAGTACAAACAAACAAACAAAGGATTAAAAACTACTGGTAATCCTTGACTTACAATGGAGCCAATATTTCTGAGGTAAAGTGAGACATTTGCTAAAGTCAGTTTTGTTCCCCATTTTACGAACTTTCTTCCCTCAGCTGTTAAGTAATAATAATAATAATAATAATAATAATAATAATAATAATAATAATAATAATAATAATAATAATAATAATGTTGGAAGGGACCTTGGAGGTCATCTAGTCCAACCCCCTGCTCATGCAAATGGCTGTCCAATCTCTTCTTAAAAACTTCCAGTGTTGCAGCATTCACCCCTTCTAGAGTGGTAAATGCTGAATTATTCTGAATTATTATTCTGAATTATTGCAGTTGTTAACTTAGTCACCCAGTTGTTAAGTGACTCCGTCTTCCCCAGTGACTTTGCTTGTGAGGAGGTCGCAAAAGGGGATCGCAGGATCAAAGAGGCAAAGCTCACTTAAGGAATGTCTCGCTTAGCAACGGAAATTTTGGGCTCGGTTGTGGTCGTAAGTCAAGGACTCCCTGTACGTGAATGAAAGGATGAGTAAGCCGGATGTTTTGGGCACCAAAAATGCATTCTCTTAGGAGCAAAGATTAAAGCAGTGCTTGTCAACATGGGCAGCTAGATGTGTGGACTTCAACTCCCAGAATTCCCAGCCCACATAGCCCCAGCTGGGAATTTTGGGAGGTTGAGTCACCCTTACCTGGAAGCTTTTAGGTTGAGAAACAGTACGTAAAACAGAGGTCCCCAACCTTTTGGGCACCAGGGACCGGTTCCGTGGAGAGATGTTTTCCCACGGACCGCAGAGTGCGTGGTTTTGTGTGCATCCCACACATAGATAGATAGATAGATAGATAGATAGATAGATAGATAGATAGATAGATAGATAGATAGATAGATAGATAGATAGATAGATAGATAGATAGATAGATAGATAGATAGATAGATAGATAGATAGATAGATAGATAGATAGATAGGAGAGATGATAGATAGATATAGATAGAATGATAGATGATAGATAGATAGATAGATAGATAGATAGATAGATAGATAGATAGATAGATAGATAGATAGATAGATAGAAGAGAGATGATAGATAGATAGAATGATAGATGATAGATAGATAGATAGATAGATAGATAGATAGATAGATAGATAGATAGATAGATAGATAGATAGATAGATAGATAGATAGATAGATAGATAGATAGATAGATAGATAGATAGATAAAACCTTTATTGTAATTTTTTACTGTGGGCACAACGGCACACATTAAAAATGAAATTTAGTTGCTTGCTCTCAAAGTGTACACATACATAACACACATTTAAACATCCTATATACAACATACGTATAGACCTACACCCTTCCATATAAGTGACATAAATATTAATCACTGTCCATCTTGAATGCATAACGGAAGGAGGAAGCTTGAGAGGTCACAAGGTTAATACTGTATGGAAGGAAACTGTGACTGAATCCAGATGTTCTGCTTCGAATACCACGGAGCCCCCCGCCCCTCCCCAGAAGGGAACAACGAAAACAGGTCGTGAAGAGGACGTGTAGCATCCCAGATAATCCTGTGGACCTTG